CAGTAAAAGGGGATCATGTTGAAATGACAACCTTAGATGAATCACAGCCATTCTTATTTTGAGAGCAGCCCTCAAGAATGCTCTGTTATAAGCCCTGACTTGATACATATTACTTTTGACCCTATGATATTGAAGACCTCAGAAAATATTAGTCATAAACGAATCTAAAGACGACCAAAAATCCTTATCTCCCACATGTCATGATTACTTTTAGGCTTCTCAAAAAGATGATTAAAGTCAGGGACCACGTGTTTTTCTATCAAAGAAGTGTGTGGAGGTATCGTGAGACACAACATCAGTAAAGGCTACCAGCCGATGAGCCACTGGCTCTATATTCAACAAAATTATGCTATACGCAATCGCTCAAAACTTAGAGGAGAGTTGCCCATTTAGCTTTTTGGACCACATTATCTGACACTTGCTGATTAACACAGACAAAGCAACATTTTATGAAGGGAAATTGGACAGTTAATAATTGTCAATTAAGTATGACCGCGTGTACCATACGCAACAGCTGCAGTGTAATCAGCAAGTAATGGCTAAATGCCTTATCTGCTAGGAGCTTAAATGGTATTTGATTTGGTGATTTGTTTAAACATTCTACTTTAACAAAGATAGATCTTACTGGAACGCCAAGTATTCGGCAAACTAGGATTTGATTCAGGCTTGGAAGTCAACTGCTTGAAGGCTAGTTGGTAAATTATGATGAATCGACAAGACAAGTTGTTGGTTAATAAGAACTGGAAAGTTGATTTGAGAAAAGGACAATGCAAGTTCTCGGCTGTAGTCAAGCAAGTATTGGCATTTCGAGCTACACGAGAGCACCCATCAACATTGCCCATTTTTGTACCTGGGATTCCATTTTGGAGTTGATCAAAAGTAAGAATAAAAAATATTAGCTAGACCCGGTTAAGCTATTATATTTTTCCCTCCATAATATAAAAATCGAAGTTCAGCTGTGTAATTGTCATAACTGAATACATGAGTATACGTATATTCGTATATGTGTATATACACATGCATTTATTTACTTTATATCCAATACGCATATTATATTTATAATAGAATCAGTTACAAACGCAATGAAGGTCGGTGCCGAGATGTTCGATTGTCCTACCATTTCTTGAATAGACAAGGGAATGGAATTGAGAGCGATCCCTGCTCCCTCAGACATTCCCCAACCGCCAAGCATGCTACGCCTCAGTCGAGGCCCTGCGACTCGTCAATAAAGATCTAACGCAAAAGATAAAATAAAAATAGTTGGATTGATCAGCAGAATAAAAAATTAGGTTATTCGCGTATATGGTTTTAAATGATTTTCCAAACATTTAAAGGACTCAAGGAGACGGTCAAATGTATTTTATACTGTCATTTATTTTCATCTTACTCCATACGATATCTTCATTCCATACCCGTAGGCTGTAGCAAAATCGCTATATATAGGCTGTAGTGAGGCTATTTTTCCTTTGGTCGGTCTCCGGTAAAAAGAAGATACTGATTTCACCTCTTGGAGAAGCATCTTGAGGGCATGAGGTGACTTGGCTCCTATTCTTTACATTACCGAAACCCCAGACTACATTAAGAAAGCTAACTAGCACATTCACACGTAAAATCGTGCTGGGAAAAACCATAAATATGAAGAAAAGCTGAGTTTCGAGAAATCCCTTAGTGGATTGATATTAAAAGGTGGATGGAAAGGATTCGTAAATTGACCACACTGGCTACCGAAAAAGGGTTGCCTTGGACTTGTGACTATTGGATGGTGCGAAGAAGACCTCGGCTCACCGTCCTCAGAGTCACAGGAAGGTGCGTCGAGGTCTTATTCGTACAATCCAAAAGTCCCAAACCCAAGACAACTTTCATTTGGTATCGGGGGAGGCCATTTTAGAAATCCCTTCCACCCGCCTTTTAAGACGAAATGAAAGTATTCCCATATTTAAATCATGAATATATTTCAACTTTAGTAGGCCAACAATTTCACTCGAGTTACCGAGGAGCAGATAAGTAATTTAAATAATAAGATTTAAAATTATTTAGATGTCTCTTTACACACATATATAAACATATACATACAATAGACAGCAGCTCTAGATGCACAAAATTCTGTATGAATAAAGACAAGTTTAGAGTCCAGAAAAATAAGCGAATTTTGGAGATACCTATGTATAAACAGAAAGTGTAGACAAAGATTAAAGCCCTCACCAATTCTGCCTTGTCTTCAAAAAGATTTTCCTTTCCGTATCTGGCTTCAAAAGGCTTTGCGCTCGTTTGGAGCCTTCTAAGCCTAGAGCTGAGATTGTCTGAACCCGCTTTGCTGAGTTTATGGACCAAGAGATCAGAATTTGCCGAAAACATGGTCAGCACATGACCCTAAACGGAATGGTATCAATGCTAGGCATGGTATGAGTCTGGTGTTAAGTGTAAGAATAGGCATTTTTAAATTAAGAAGATTATCAAACCCTTGAACAAGTGCAGAAAGGTGAGCAAGAACCAGCTCTGTCTAATATGGACAATATAGGCGAAAAGAGAAAAAATAATTTTTTTAGAGCCTGGTTAAAGTATAAATAAACCAACAGACACAAATTTTTAATATGTGCGGCATACGTTAAAACACATCCTACAAGTTCATAACATTGCCTAATCACAACACATGCCACTACGATAAGGGTTAAATAGTTTGGCTGTTATGCTCTTCGGCAGATTCTGCTATTCCAGATAAGGATAAGATGGCAAAAGCCCGTTACCGCTACTAATAAAAGGCTATCAGCAATCACAATAACATTAGGACATGCAATCCTATTTGCCTGAATGTATGTCTACAGCTGGGATCTTATTGAGGGCTTGAGTTGGTGAACAGGAGAATTGCATAAGGAAAATGTAGTCATTTTTCATAAGTTCTCAGTATTAATCATTTTTATCAATTAATTCGCATGGTCATGGAACCGGCTTGTAGACCATAATTAAAGTATATTCGAAACATAATCACGTCGAAAATTAATACCAACTTAGGTCGTAATTGCAAGTACAGGTTTGTCCTCTCGATGCTCCCACCAAAGTGAATTTGGAGAGGTCTTGCTTGCCATTAAGCGTAAATGAGAACAGCTCATTACTGGAGTCTTCAATATCACAATTGACTCGCTACCTTAATTCCTGTCAATTATATCTGTGTGTTTATCTCAAGTAAAGTTTACTATACACTGTTTGGAATGTTGGTTTATATGGAAATAACTCTAACAATTTAATTTTTTGTATGTAAGTAGAGTTTCGAGACTACCAGTCAATCAGTAATATGAGATCTATTCACCCTATTTTGTTTAAGGTGATGAAGGACTGTTAGCAGAATTCTCCCACAATGATATGAGTAGAGCTGACGTTTTCATTGAATTTCACATATCGTTGCTTTCCCAAAAGTTGTTCTCATATGAAATTCCATTGGAAGCGTCAGCTCTACTCATATCGTTGTGGGAAAATTCTACTACCAGTCCTTCAACACCTTAAACGAAATAGGGTGAATACATCTCATATTACTAAAATTTAAGCCAAGTTCACTTTACTATTATACACTCATCTATCAACTTGATGAATTTTCAAGATTTCTCTGTTGAATTCTGTTAAATCTCAAAGACATTATATAGTTGCTGACAAGGTATTAGGTAGGTATTGTCTTGATTA